ACGTTTTACAAAATCACAAACATTTTCTTGATACCCACAAATATACTCTTTTTAATGCTTTAATCGTTTCTAAAAGATGTGATTTATTGGAGAAAGTTTATATCTTTTATAAAGTTGAAATCTATAACAATTAATTCAGATAATCGATTAGCAGAACATTTAATCGATTATTTACATGCAGTGATAGATTGAAAATAAGTCATATAATCGATTAGGTACCAATTATTAGTGCGTGATGTCAAAATAAAGATGTAGTCACATAATTAATTAAGTAACAACATAATTATTAGTACATAGTATGAAAACATGAAAATAATCATATAATTGATTAAGTACTCGTCTAATTGATAAATATAGATTTAATTGATTTAGTTTTAATATAATTTATTAATTTTAATTTTTTACCTATGTTATTTTAAACAAATATTAAATCATTTAGCTTTAAAAAAAGTACTCATACAAATGACATCATCATAAAATGATTCTTCAAACATTTTTCTTTTTTCATTAACAAAAATTATTTTGTTGATAAATTAAAATTTTCATTTATTATTGTATTATACTTGTAAAATGTTTATTTTTTAAAAACTTTACATTCAATTTTTACAAAGATTATTTTATTTAGATTTTCTACCAATATAATATATTCTTCTTGAATAAAACTTTTGAAGGTCTAAGACTTACAAAAAATATACAACGGAAAAAAATTCCAGAAGTTTAATTGTGGAATATACGAATATATTTCTATAAAATTATTTTTGACATGTATATTAATTATACTTTTGGGAGTTCAATTTCAAAATATACGAACAGGCTCTCAGAATTTTTATTATGGAATATTGAAACTACTTACCTCTCTATTCACAGAAAAAAGGGAGGGTGTTAAAAGTATTACCTTTGTCCACCTCGTTATTCAAAATGCTTGGGCCTCCATCACGAGTATTGGTGTTTAAAGGTATCCCTCGTTTTCTATTTACACCTCTCAGAAAGAAATTTGTTAGAACTACTAGTTGAAGTACTGCATAATTGCGCTATGTTGTAATTTACTTTATTTTATTTTAAATTAGTATTTTTTCACCTATGAAATTTATCAAACTAACAATGCCAAAAAAAATGGTAAAAATGTTAATGATTTAAACTTGATTTTGTGAAAACTGTAGACATAGCGATGTAGGGGGAATGATAGATATGAGCATAAAAGAAAAGTAAGTCACAAGAACTTGACCATAGCCAAGCATCTAATCTATGCCATGCCTCCCAGATCCATTCATTCAAGAAGGAAAAAGCTTTTCTTCATCCAAGTTATATTGTTTTGACAATGACAAGGGTCACCAACAAATAAGACAACAGGCAAAGGCATGCATCTATTTGTGTCTTTAAAGTGTCCTAAGAACACAAAAGTGGTGTTCATGTTAGGAATGTTGCAATCACTCCAAGTTTGGCCCATCAAAACAAACTCCACTCTATCTTTTTCCTCTCTAAGACCAAAGTACATGCTTACTTGGAAGCCACTTTTCTTTAGCTTGTGTTTGTTTGAACTGATTTACTGTTCACAAGGAGAGAAGTGCGAGGATGACACACGTTTGGTTGAACCGAAATGCGACGAAATGCGACGAAATGAAAGCGAGGAAAAGCGGGAGAGAGGAGAAAGGGGTTCTTCGCTGATGCACGAAGAAATGAGATGAAAGCTGACTGGACAAATTGAAATGTCCAACTTACCCTCACTCTGCAAGATTCATTGCTGGGTGCATGTCTGCAAAATGTCCAACTAAGTTCTTAAACTCCACAGCAGAAGCAGAGGCCAGTTCTTTGGCATAAGATGCTTCTTCAGAGAGCTTCTGATTCTGCACATGCAACCCACTATTCTCTTCTGATAATTGATCATAATAAACTGGACATTGATATATGATAGCGGTTCTACGTGAACCGGTATCTAAACAGGTTTTAGATAGCGGTTAAAAAGAAAACCGCTATCTCAAATACGTCTTAGATAGCGGTTAAAAAGACAACCGCTATCTCAAATACATCTTAGATAGCGGTTAAATATACAACCGCTATCTAATCCTAATTTCGAATATAATAGCACTTCTTCTTAACCGCGATGGTTGTATATGATAGCGGTTAAATCTTAACCGCTATTATAATATCACTTCTAATAGCGGTTAAAACTTAACCGCTATTATATAGCACTTCTAATAGCGGTTAAATCTTAACCGCTATTATATATTTTCAGATATGTTCGCTCATTTGAAAATGTAGTCGATCATAATCGAAAAATGTTGATGTCGCTCGAGCGAGATCAGTTTCACTCAAGCGAAAAAGGACACGAGAATGAAAATTATGTGCAGGTGTCTTCGCTCGAGCGAGTTTAATGTCGCTCAAGCGAAATACAACTTATAATAGTGGTTAAACCATAACCGCTATCTAATATATGCTTTAAATAGCGGTTACAGAGGAACCGCTATGATATCTTCCAATTATGATCGATCATTTGAAATTATGATCGATCAGGATGGTATTTCGCTCGAGCGAGGGTATAATCGCTCAAGCGAAATACAACCCGAGACTGAATCTTAAAATATTTTTTTTGAATATTATGTTTTTTAATATGTTATTAGAGAAAACCTTTCGAAATTCAAAATGTTAAATTATATTTTAGAATATATATATATATATATATATATATATATATATATATATATCTATATAATTTTCTATCAAAATTATATATTCTCAAATATAATTTATTTTCATTTCAAGAAAAACTGTTTTTAAAGAGAATTTTCAAATCTGCTTGCATTAATTAGTCTGTTGAAAGTTTGTTTTAATCTGTTGAAATAGCCGTTATAATCTGTTAAAAGTCCTTTCAACCCATTAATGCGTCCTTGTTTCTTTAACAGAATGGTTTTAGTTCATACAACCATGTTTATATCAGTTAAAACATTTTACAAACATTTTCTGAGACTGATTCAATCGATTGATTCGCGTTTTAATCGATTGATTTGCTTAAAAACCTTCTTATAAAACTTTCCTAAGTTATTTTAGCTGATATAAAGTCGTTTTAATCGATTGAAAATATGTACATAACTTTTCAAGTCTTTTTAATCGATCGAAAGTTCGTTTTAATCGATTGAAATAAGTCTGATCGATCATCCCGACTTCCAAAGTGGTTTTAATCGATTAAAACGTGTTTTAATCGATTAAAATAAATCTGATGGCTCATTTTTAAAGTCTGATCGATTATATTTCATTCTGACCTGTCATATTCGAATTCTAATCGGTCATAAAAGGGTTTTAATCGATTAAAAGAAGTTTGTATCGATTAAAATACTGTAAAAACACTTCTTTACGTATTCTAAGTGATTAGACAGTCTGGATTAATTGGTATAACTGAAAATAATGTTAAAAATCGACAAAAAAGTCTTAAGGATAGATGGCGGGAGGTCCACGATTTGTTTCATGGACTTAGTGGATTCGTTTGGGATGATATGACAACATTCGGAGTCAGATATATGGGACATGTTAGTCGGCATGAACCTAAATGACGAGCAACTTATGCTTCGAGTGTTATAATCATTTGTGTACTCACGAATCACATGTTAGACGACTTTTTGGCTTGCCCTCACATCTTCGTCTCTCCCAGTTGTTCATGTTCTTGAGTGGAAGTGATTAAATGATCTGAACCTGGAGGACTTGATCGCAAAAGATGGATAACATTATAATTATTTGTTTGAAGAGCATTAGTGTGTATAGGTTTATAATTTGAGTAATGTTTCATTTAATTATTATTCTATTTTCACTCGTATTTTATATTTGTTTTAAATAATAATTGACAATTATATTATTAGTTTTCATAATTATTTGTTATTATCAGATCAATATTAATTATTATTTTATATTTTATAATTATTTAATTATTAGTCAAATAATTTAATTAATATGTCAAAATTATTTGAATATGGATATGCAATTACATAATTTTGTAATTGTTTATTTATATAATTTTTAATAACTATTTAAAAAAAGTTAATTTTTTAAATTTGTTTCCAATTACAAATACTTGTAAATTTGTTTTTTCTTTTAAATATATAATCAATGTTAAAATATGGATAATTAATTAAAAAATTATATTTATAATCATTTGAACCTTATTTTATACAAAGGGTAAAATGGTAATTTTCTTAAATAATCAACATAAAATTATAATTTTTATATCTCATATCCATCAAATCATTCACAATTTCCCATAAACTTTCCTCACACTTTCCATTCATCCAAACAACTTTAACTTTACCTTCATTTCTCTTCAAATCCCTCCTTTCCACTCTCTCAAATCACTCCAACCAAACAAAGCATTAGGGTACGTGTAATGCATGTTGGTCAAGGTTCTGCCTACAAAGTTCCTTTCTTTAAGAGGCCTACCTAATTATGTCTAACAACTTGCATTATAAGGTTTTTTAGCCTAATTTCTCCATAAAAATTAAAAAAATAGTTTTTTTTCTATAAATTAAAATTAATTTATGCATAATTTTTAAATTTTTTATTTTTAGCTTATAACAACTAATTTTAATCTATAAAACAAGTTTTTTTTTGTCTTAGGAGTAGATTGAGAAGATAGTTAATGTACTAAATCTTTAATTTGGTTTTGTTGGTGTGTGTGAATTTGGCACAGCATATTTGTGGTCACATGCATTGTGTAACAATTCAGAACAGAAAAAGCAAAAGGAAAAGCTATAAAAGTGACTGGCATGATTGTGTGTATTAATTAATTAACATGCTCAAAATATGATACTACTAACATAATAAACATGATACCAATCAAAGTGATTAAAATCGATCTTTTGTTTCATAAAAATGCTTGAAATTAATTTGATTAAGGTAACTATATGTTTCATCTCTCGGCTTTCTAATTTAAAACTATTTCATCAATTAAAAAACATATAATGTAGGATACAATATTATATGTTAAAAAATACGAAATCTATCAAATGTACGGTACAATGGTGGAAGTTCTTAAGATTTGTATGTTGTCGTTTTTTTATTTTGTAAGTTTTTTTATGCTCACAAATATAATAAACATTTGTTCTCCTCCTTTAAAAAATGGAAACTATTATAAAATTCTTGTTAAAATTTGAAAAAGTGCATGGAGAGTGTTTTGGGTGATTTTATTAAATGTAGTGTGGACCTTCACAAATTTGGCATCTTCTTCCTAAATATTTTGAATTTGGATCCATCTTCTCCCTACTTTTTTTTTCTTTTATCTTTCTTTTACATGATTGTGATCTTTGCTCTTCTTGGATCTGGATCTTATTCACTTTTTCAACTCACACCAAATCACCTTTAAGAAGATAATGTTCTCATTTTGTTGTGTTTAATCCACAAATTCCATTGGTTCAATCCATTTGACTGAAGCTGATCTTCTGTTTGATTTGATTTGATTCTAATGCAAAACCAATGATTTACAAAACTAGTATAACCTAATCCTCTTAAAAATTTGTTATTATTAATAAATATATATTTAAATATTATTGAAATTTCAATTTAAGTATATTTCATATATTTTATTTAAACTTTTTACACGTATTTTATGTTTTATTTTAGTTGTCAACATTTGTAAAATTATAACATTATATTATTTTATTTATTTTTAGTTATTAAAATATTAATGCTGGTTGAACCATTTAACTATAAGCCGGTTAAATGAGTAGTTCAAACTCAAAAATAGTGACGTATATTAAGGTGCTTGTAAAGAATAACATATGCCATTTAACTCAACTATTAAAAAAATAAAATTGTGAACTCAAATATAACCAAAATTTGTAACTATTTTCATCTTATTTAATATCGTCTTAAAAATATTTTTCAATTTATTGATATTCTATTTTATATAACATTAACTAATTTTGTAGTTAACATAAAATGTTACCATCTTTATCACAATGACGGCGATTCTCGTTTCTTACAATTCTAAATTGATTAATGTTTTTCGATTTCAATGAAATATTTATTACTTTACTCATAATTTTTTCAAATAATTACTTATAAAAGGAATGCATTTCCTTATATAATGAAGTTGTTATAAAAAGTGACATATTTATTATTATTGTTAATCTAAATCTATCAACAAAATCATAAATAAAAATAATTTTGGAATTAAGATAATCTTTTATCTATTATAAACAATAGACATTTAAGATTATAACTCATTGATTAAAAAATATTTAGTCAAAGTTATCATTAACTTATCATTTTTTTATAAATTATATTGCATTAATTACACTAATTATACGTAAGTGATATAAAAATACTCCCCAACACAATACTCTTTTAAAAATCAAATCTCATTTTATCAATATATCAAATCAATAGTGTATAAAAATTTTAAATGCTCTCCAATTAATTTTCATTCGATTCTAAATTCCATGGGTTGCCATAGTTTAAATGTTAATTTTCTTTTTAAATTCTCTTAGATTCATTACCAATTAACTAAAACTTATAATTACTCAACAAAGTTAATTAACATTATAGTTATTAAATTGACCACTTTCTTCCTAAAGTTTCAAACATAAAAGTACTTACTATGTTATTTGAAATGATTATAATGGAGGTTGCTTCCCAACACAAAGATTTTGGTCAAAAAGTATTTGTGGAAGATTATATAATTTGAAGTCATCATATGAAGGTGTTTGAAATCATTGAAAAAGGTGACAAAAATCATATTGGTATTCAATTTGATAGACAACAAAGAAGATGCATCATAGAAGTATGACTGGAAGAGTTTTTTATTTGGCTAATAAGAGTGAATATCATTTTGAATGTTTATCATTGAAATAAATTATTTTTAAATTGATCACATAAAAGTGCAAATATAAAAAATTATCTTTTTTCACAAAATAATAAAACCCAGAAGTTTTATTTTGTCATTTTCTCATTTATTACAACCTTGGCCAAACAGCAACATAAAGTAACCTGCTCTCAGTCCCCTTCAGATTACCAACCACATCCTCATCATTCCTTCGTGTCTCCTTTCCAAACATGAAAATCCTTTTATTTATGTCACTTTTTAATCAACTAATAGTTTTAAAGGAAAAAGTCAAGATTTGTGTTTTGGAAAATGTCATCTCATTTTTTTCCAACCACAATTTTTCAGTCTATTTCTTTTGTTTCGCCAGTATTGCATGAATAGATAAATAAAATTATTATTTTTATCTAAAAAGTTCCCATCACAAAAGTAAGCATGATTTCATTAAAAGAAAAATAGATAAAAAAGACTCAGTACTTGCCACAAGGAATAATTTTTTATGTTTGCATATTACGTCAAAATTTTAACTACCCTTTTTGATAAATATAAATGTGACTCTAATATAGTTTATAAATACATATTTTATACCTATAATAAACACAAAATTCTATTAATTATATATTTGACATATTTCTCTTTTGAAAAAAAAAACGTTTTTTTAGTTTTAAAAATTACAAAGTGAATACTTTTTTTTTCGAAAATTAACTAGTTAAAATGTTTTGATTTATGTTGAAATCTTGAACTGGAGGCTGCACATTCACATGTCTAATATTGCAAATTAATGAAATAAAATTTTAATTCTGAATTATTTATTTTACTATTTTAATGATAATTTTCCGTCTTTCTTAATCTTTGACTAGGTGTACTTTTACATCCTCTGATTCTCTCTCTTCACCTTTCACTGTTTTCTTTTTTCTCTCTCTACTCTGTCCCTCGCCGGAGCCAACGTTCGTCGCCGGAATTTCCTTTCGGAACCGCTCTTCCGCGGCGAGCCAGCGCAAGCCCTTTTGAGAAATCTGTTCAACCGGCGTGAAAGGCAGATTTTTTTTACGGTTCTAGCAAACCGGTTTGGTCTTTGACTTGGAACCGTGAGTAGAGTTTCGGAGATTTTGAGTTCTGCGAAGAGGTGCGGATCCAGAGAGGTTCTAGAGCGAGAATAAGAAGTGGTTTTGGTGTTTTTTCAAGAAGGAGAGAGGTTTTGGTTTGACGTGAAGGGTGAATGGTTGTGAAGAAAAGAAGAGGTTGGAGTTTTCTATGATGACCGGAGCTCCTGCGAGTGATCGGAGAGGGTGGTGGTGCGTCGGTGAATATCTCACATGGAATGGCAGATCTTGCTAGCTACGGGAATGCCAACCGTGACATTGAACAAGTAGGTTCTTTCTTTCTCTCTCTATATATGGGAAGGTTGTAAGTTTTGTGTGAAGGTACAATTTTTTTTTTCTCAAATTTTGATTTTTTGTTTCAGTTTTTGTTCTAATGTTGGAAATGTTTTTTTTTTTATCGTTTTAATTTCTTTGGGGTGTCTAAGAGCATATTTGATGTTGTTTAGTATTTGCTTAGGCGGTTCTATAATAGCTTTTATGCATTTTTCACCGTTGGAGCAACTGATGTAGCTGTTCGTAAGCAACTATTCTTAACAGTTTTTAAGAATTGTCAAACCACTTTGAAACTTATTTTAAGTTCGTAAAAACTACACCATTGGAAAAAAATTAGAAACTTGTTGAAGTTCTTGAATCTGATGACATTGTAGAGTCCACCAAAAGTGAGTTGAGCAACTCCACCTTCTTTGGAGATTCTTGAGGTTATGAATTATGTTTGTGTGTGTGCGTTTCTTCTCTTTGTTTGAGAGGGTGATACGTTGGATAAAACTTATGAGCTGTAGATGTTTTTTTTGAAAGTTTTATGTTGCGGATGAGAAGTGTTATTTCCAACCCTTTCTAATTGATTAAAGGGATGAATGCTTCATGGAATGGGGAGTTTGGGAAAATCGAGAGATACTGGGATGCATGTTTCTGTTTGAATGGAGGGTAACTTGCTCTGGTTGTAAGTGAGTAGATGTCTTTGGAGAGCATGTTTTAGCTGTAAGATATTGATAATGCAGTAATTTATTGAAGCTAGCAGAATGTTATTTTATTTTTCGTACCTTAAAGGGTTGATTGCACTCATTGACTGAACATTTTATGATTTAGTTCTGAATGGAGGCTGACTAAATTTAAATTACCTTGTGAAATTGAGGCAGCAACCGCTGTTTATCAGTTGTTTGAACAACAGTACTACATCTCTAACTTGTAATTTAGGTCAAAATGTTAAGAAGGAAGAGAGATAAGGCTACTCATAGAAATTGAATCAATTTTGTGACGTTTTAATGTTCTAATGGAATATACACTTCTTATAGTATGAGGTGGAGTAAATTATTATTCTTTGCCATTCCTTCCTATCAGCTTGCTATATTTCTTAGAGTCTGAAATATGGACACTCCTCCTGCTTGGGGTGTTGAAGTTTCTAAACTGGGACACAATGTTGTCAAACTTGAGAGATTATCTAAACTGGTGAAGCGTCTATAAACCTGACTTCTTAGCTCCAGAGCTTTCCTAATAAATAATAATATTTAAAATGGCAATAAAAGAATTAAAACAGAATTTAACGCCATATTCATATTCATATTCAATGTTTATATTGTTATATTAAAGCAAACCCCAACAGTGAATAAGGTTGGTTGATTTGTGTTTCTACACTTGAAGGTGAAGTATATTAAATCATCTTGCAAAAGTTGGCTCAAGCATTTCAAGCTAAAATTTTTGTATTTTGGTTTGGGCAAAAGTAATGTGATCAGCAAACTCTCAAACTCATTCATGTATGGCCCAAGTCTATTAGCCAACTATGCAATTCAACTCATTTCCTCCATGTGGAAAAGTAAATTCATTCAAATCTAAAAGTTAAACTCGCTAGTTTTATAACCATGTTCCAACACTGAAACTTTTGTGATGAGTTGGACATTAAGCATTATATGTCAATTTAAAAATATATTTTTCATGAGCTTAGACATTTGAGTCAATTCTTCAATATGGCTAGACACTTAAAAGCCACTGGTACTCTAAAAAAAAGTGAACTGCATTCCTTTCCCCGAGGGTTGCTTGTATTACATTCAACCCACCTCTTAATCTAAAATCTATGCTTCCCTCCTTGAAAGATAAACATGTTACATTTTAATTCATTTTAATGCAAATGAGTTTTTTTTAGAGATTTGCCCCCTCATGATGATTCTTGACATGATTAATAGTTAATTTTAAACATCTACTATCAATTTGTGGATTTAGATATGAAATAAAGATTTAAATTAAATTTCAAAGCCTACAACAAATGAATAAATGTATTTGAAACTTCATTGTCCTTTAATACTAAATAATAGCATGCTCAAAATTTGGTGTTGGTGACACCAAAAGTTGTAAAAGAAGACAAAACATCATGGAGAGGGACATTCATAACTATTTTCTGCTGTTAAGAGGTTTGTTTATAATGAAAAGGGCCAATATGTTACTCATATTCTTCTTTTAAGGGAGGATAGTGTATATTTTAATATAAGGGAGGTTGGGAGTGGAACTTAAACATCTCTCAAGGAAGGGAAGAGTAATTTACTGTACAAAAGATCATTTTAAAAGGTTAAAAAGTATTGCCCTATTTGGTTTCTGCTAATTAAAATGAGGTTTGCTCCTAAAAGAGTAATTCACCAACAATGATACATCCTTATCCCACTACATGAAGTAGCTACATGGATCACACAACCCCTTTGGATTCAATTAAAACCAAATTCTACCGTGAGATCCCTCTTAACATTTCCTCTTATGTATAGTGCCCAGTGTTTTTTATCATTTCCTCTTATGTATTGTGCTCAGTGTATTTGATCTTTATTGGTGCTTATATTTTTACTTTTCATTCTGCAGGCATTGATTGCTTTGAAAAAGGGTGCTCAGCTTCTTAAATATGGTCGTAAAGGAAAGCCCAAGTTTTGTCCCTTTAGACTTTCCAGTGTAAGTTAAATGAAACCCTTTTCGGGATTGTTTGTGGATTCTCTTAACTGTGAATCTCTGCTAACTGCCTGGTTGGACAATTCTTAATTGATTATGTGGCCATGACAAATAGCTGCTATTGCATGGATTTGATGCTATGACTATATGAGCAGTATAATATGAAAAGACTATTTATTTGTATCTTCCTTATTTTATAGGCCCTATATTTTGATGAGGTGTTGTTTTGTTCTTTGTTGGTACTGAATTCTGACATACCAGAGTGTGCTCTGTGATTTCATTTCACTGTAGGGAGTGCCCCTTAAATTGTGCTCTCTAGCTAACTTTCATGTATTAACAATATTGTATAGCTCACTTCTAAACTTTTTATATCTATTTTTTGTCAACTTTTTAATGCATACGAATAGATGACTACACCTTGATGTATTTTACTTTTACATATGCCACATAAATTTTACTCTGGCTAAAATCAGTTCTTTCCTGAGTTGGCAATGTGAATTCTTTGGGTTTGCTGCATTGTAGTGGCACATTTCTGGTCAATTTGTGTCATTACTACCCTGATTTTTACGATTTTGCATAGATTTTGATTACTATACTGGATGAATTTCCTTATTGTAGTTATTAGCGCTACTGCTAACAAGCAGTGTTATTGTAGCTTTATTTCTGGACAAACATATTTCTTATTTGGTGTATGCCTTCATGGTTGTATTAAACAATTCATAAATTCTAATAAAATTGCTTCTTTTCTGTTCTTCTTTGGTTGTAGACTATAAAGTTGTACATTCATATGTATGTAGTAGTAAGCTGGATGTGACTTTTTACACTCGAGTTATTTCTACGTATACACATTAAATATCTATAAACTGTAGGATGAATCATCTTTAATCTGGCTTACAAGTAGCGGAGAAAGAAATCTGAAGCTATCTTCTGTCTCTAGAATTATTCCTGGACAAAGAACTGTGAGTTTTTTCCCTTATATATAATGGCATACAATAGCATGGCTTTCTTTGTTGCTAGCTAAGCGATTTAAAATTTTGTTTCACAAACTTACTCCTTTTTGTTCCGTATTTCTTTTCCTTAATCTTTGGGCAGGCTGTTTTCCAACGTTACTTGCGTCCCGAGAAGGACTATTTGTCCTTTTCACTTATTTACGGTAACGGAAAGCGATCACTTGATTTGGTTAGTTACAAATTATGTTATTTCATGCATCACTAAATCATTTTTTGCTTTCATTTTCTGTATTTTTTTATTATTATATTTACTTCTGTGTATTGCTTTTCAGATTTGCAAAGATAAAGCTGAGGCAGAAGTGTGGATTGCTGGCCTTAAAGCATTGATATCTTCTGGTCAAGGTGGCCGGTCCAAAATTGATGGATGGAGTGATGAGGGTCTCATTCTTGATGTAAATATGAAATTTATGGTTTTTGCACTTAAAACGAATTTTGGGCATGTTATATTTGTTGTACTATTTCTATAACTTTAGTCTCGGGTTAATAATTGTGTTTTGCATCATTTTGCATAGGCAGAATCTGGTAGATGTGCTAGAATTGAATGGGACAACATATGGGGTATTTTATAAATTGAGCAGTGTTAGACATGAGGCTTTAGGAATGGTCCATTTTGGTTTTACTAAACATTGTGGAACCAAGAAGAACAAAACAAAACAGAATCATTTCATTTTGTTTTGTTTGTTTCAATTATTTTCTGTATCCATAACAAAATGCTACAATAGGTGTATATTTTCTACTAATAAAGATGCAGAGAACTTATTTGCTCCACTATAAGAGTGATTATTGGTTATTTTCTTTTAAGGAAAGCTAGCCTTTATTTTCTTTTCACATAGAAGCTTAACATGGAAGGAAATATTGTGTTGTTTATTTATTTATTTATTTATCTGAAAGAGATTGCCACTCGCTCTTCTCTTCTTTGGTTATATTTGGGGGTAACTGTTTGTGCTGATTAACCTGCTGTACTTTTTATATGTTGTGATTTTTTTGTGAAAATATGAACTAATTGTGTAAAAGTTTTCCTAATTCCTGTATCTCTGCTGTTTT